TTTTTTAGCAAATTTATCTGTAACCATTAAAAGTTATCTTTGAAAAATGTACCTGAAAATGCCTTAATCTAAAATCAGAATGAAACTTCATCGTTTTGTGTATTAGTTGTAGTAAGCTAATAAAAAAAGTGAAAATTGATAATAACGCAAACAGTATTTTTTTTTTAAATATAACAAGCATCTTTGCTTAAATGATGTCTCTCTTATAAGGCAATTATGTATGTGTAGTTAATCAACTTTATTTTTGGCTAAGCTATACAGTTTGGTAAACACTTGGAAATGTTACTTACAATTCAATATTTTGCAAATCCTTAGAAATACTATAGAGCTTATTTCTGATAACTTTTTGGAAACATTTTCACGATTCTAATTTTACATTCTACAGAAGTAATTCTTTTTTTAATAAGATTTACATTGATAATAATATTAGAAACAAAACAATTTCAATCTTCTGTAAGAGAGATAAGATAACTTGTTTTTGGCAAATTTTCCATTCAAAGAGATATTAAAATTTATAGCGATAAGAATCTTCTGTATGGAAGAAAATTTGTTTGTCGTAGAATCATCAAATCACATCATTTAAAAATCTTATTCTCAACAACCACTGGAGTAGGAAAGCTAAAACGTATGTGAAAACTTCATTACATAGTGTTGATTCAAGTTTGTTCAATTTGTGAACCCAGGGCTAGGGCGATTAAAATTTTACATGGGAATATATGGGGGAAAAACATTTCAAACTTCTCCTCAAGAACAAGAAAGCCGTGAATTGTGAATTTTATTCGTAAGCCTCCAAAGGTGCATGTACATATGTAGTATGGATCCAGCTTTCCTTAAATCATTGCCCTTTCAGCAAGGGCTGTGGCACATTAGATTTTGTATTTAGTCATGCGGCAAAACCGAATATTTACAAAAAATGCCATTTTTGAGAAAATTGTTGGATTATGTGTATAGGTAAAGGAATATATTGCAAATATATCTGGTTACTGGGGAACATTATTAGACCACCTCAGACAATTTTGGGAACCATTCTCCAAAGTACAGTCGTATTTCACATTAACAACCATACCTCATTACAAAAGTAGCTACCGAATTAAACGTTTAAACATATATCTGTGCATGTGTAATGCATTTTTAGAGGTCACAATTTGAGATTTTTACATAAGAAGATGCCAAAATCATGCTAAATCATGCCAAAATGCAGACGCACTCAAGTTTTGTGGCAAAGTGCAGACACACCCAAGTTTTGTGGATTTTTTAAGTAACAATTTGCGGAATCGTCTAAGCCTGTACAGCAGCTGATATGCCACTCATTTTGCGTCACGCATAATTATACTAGGATATTAAATTATCGCATTGATCTATTTAATCTGTATATTTATGCAACTCTGATTTTTAGTAATCTATTTAATTTTTTTTGGAGTTGGCCACTTTCATTTGGTTATATAAAAAATATTAAATGCTTTTCAATGCATTTTAAATAATATAAAGGCAGCTTATGCACAACTGTTAAAAGGGATGCGTTTCTGAAAATGTATAAGATGTTTAGATGGGTCCTCGTGATCCCTTCTTTTAGAATACTGTATGTCGAGGTTTAAAATGGAAAGCATGCACTTAACACCTCACTTAAATCTACGATAAAGAAAAAAGTTTGGATTTGTTTTTTTTCAAAAGACAGACACGCAAACTCAAAGAAAAGAATGTAATTTGAATGTCTTTCTTAACAGATAAGGGATAATGGTAAAAAAAAAAAAATTAAAAATGTTTATCTTTTGAAAATTTAGCCGCAGATCTCCAGCATTGAATAAATTAAATGGGCGACCGGAGAGCTATGGTGCCATCCATTTAAAAGTGTTCATTCATTGCACTAAAAAATTGTACTCTTTCTCAGTTTATTTCTCATTTATATTCAAGCTTACATGTCAAAGTTTGACTAACCGTGTGTTCCTACTATATATTCTTTAACTACTTTCACTTCAAAACATTCTCCAAGTCTTTTGTTACATGTAATAGCCTTCTGGGTTTAAAACCGAGACCATAAAAAATTTCGCCTTTTATATATGTATTGCCATTTTAGGTTCCAAGAATAATTCGATCCAGCGCGCTTTGTGACTTATTATTCTATTGTTGTGTAAGTACAGGTACATGTAGTAGTAAAAGAATATGCTAATAATGCATGGTTTTCAATATCTGTTGAGATGGGAGAGAAATAAATTAAGAAACACTGCACGTTTTAGTACACTTTTTTGAGTGGGTGGCACTGTTAGCTTCGATCGTTTAACCCATGTTCTTTAGTCCAGCAAGCTTCACATCTGCACCAGTTGAAAATATATAAATTTACTCTCATTATTATAATATATACATGTATATATTAGACTGTGTCACTTTTTCACTTCCTATAATGCCTGGTGGATTCGGACCTACTTATTTATTCGTTATAAATTTCCTCAGTGAATTTAATTCACTGAATCTTGTTTTATATATCTAAACTTATAAATTAATAAATTTTGCAAATAAACTACGAAACGGGTGGACTAGAGTTCTAACTTACTCCTCTAAGAATACATTAGATACAAGACGATGTCCGTAAACTATATTTAGATTTCACTCGCAGAGTAAGTATCGTACATTAAATTAAAAGTCTACTTTCATTTTCTATAAACAGCCATGAAATAGCAAAAACGTGAGTACGGTGGTGTTTCCGGTTGGCGGATCTAAGTTACTTTCAATTTTTAATGGAACTGACAGCAAGCAGTCGATTAATTATTTCATAAAATGTCATTACTGAATTATTAAATCAATACTTGATTTAAATGATATAAAAGACATAAGTTGTGATAACCGATTAAAAAGGTAAATGTGATAATTATTTTCGTCATTCAACGATCTTAATATTGACGGAAGCTTCTAGAACATCACATAGCATCGAGCCCGATGTTAAAAAGAAAAACGAGACGATTATAGCTGTATGAACATAAAAAAGATTTGTGTGAATGGTCATTGAAATAATTGTAAATTATTGATAACACTATAAGTTTTGAATATATTTATATGTCGAAAGACTATTACATATATGTAGTAAGTTTTCCTAATAAATTTTCGGTAAAATTTGTATATATTCCTCAGTGAGAACATCGTGGTAACGAACCCGAAGTACAATTTGTACTTCGTATAATAAACTTGCTTACATGAAAAGAAAAAAATAATGAATAAGCAATACATTTCAGTTTTTTTTTCCCTGAATATACAGTCTTTTGTATCAAATGCTCGGCTTATTCATAGGGCGTTAAAAGCTAATTTTTACACAGGTACTTCGGTCTTGGTTTATAAATATGTTTGTACCTTATTGATATGTAAAAAAAAAAGTAAAGTACATTTTTTACATATCAATAAGGTACATGCATTACACATTTATAAACCGAGACCCGGGTAACTATGAATTTTACACCCCCCCCCCCAAAAAAAAATCAACTCACCAATAAAATGTGCATATTCGCTGCTTTATCCTTGACGGAAATGAAATAAGAGCATCTGAAGTACAATATTCATAACATAGTATAACAGGTTTCACAATAATCGTCAATTAATGAAATTGTTATTTTTCATTTTTTTTTTTTTTGCAAAGGGGGGAGGAGGGGGAGACGTACATCTACTTCTTGCGAGATTTTCAACAAAGTATTTCTTCCTGCTATTAGCCTGTAAGCTGTCAGTAGAAACTACAATATACTTTCTGTCGGTAGTTGTATAAATTAAATTCCCCGCGCTTGCGCGGGATTTCATCTAGTATATTTTTAATTTGCTGTACGTCAGTATCAAGACCCCATAAAAACCTTCAGCAATTATAAAGTTTATGTAAGCAAGAGCGTTATTGTAATAACCCCCTCTTTCAGTACTTTATTTTGTACTTTGTTTTAAGTCTTACATCTGACATGTTTTATTCTTGTTTCTAAAGAGATTAAAAAAATTCATTTCCTAATTGATACGATCAGAACAAATACATATGTATACACATTAGTCAAAATTTAAAACATCGACAATATTCCTGACAATAAACTATTATCAACAAGGTTCCCAGAAGAACTATGTTGTCTCCGAATTATATAAGTGATATGTTTCTTGATTAACTCATAAATTTGTGCACTGCTCTGTATTAACGAATAAAAAACCGTTCAGGATTTTTTTCTTTCATTAAAATCTATGTAGTGTTTCCTTAACATGAGATATTTACCTAAAAAAGACCTAATAGCAAAAAATCTATTATTTATTTTCTCCGAAATAAAAACAAACCCATATAAAACAGTATAAGGATTACTGAGTCGTTCAGTAAAATAGGGATTTAGATTGCTGTATACCAAGTCTTTATACGTTTCAAACTTCAAAATTTTCATCACTTATCAATTTATAATTCTATGAAATCTTTTACCAGAATAACTCCGCGAATAGAAGTATCTTCAATTTATTACTATACATTATAAGATACGGTCCTGAAAATGATGAATGGAATAGGAAATTTAAAAAAAAGGCTGGAAGTAAGTTCGGTTGTGAAGTCTCTCAGTGACAAGTTTTCGACACCTTACATTTATTTAGAAGGCCTGAATCAGATATAAAAACATAAAATAAGAGCGAAGACATTTTTGCGGATAATTTAATTTAAAAATCGTTAATCTTAATCATTTAAAGCAATTTATCTTTATCGCAAAAGCGGTCTTATCTAGGCGTATCCCATCAGTGTCATTATGACATATTTCAATTTTTAGTGCAGCTTTGATTCTCACCATTTTTTTCCTATTCTTCATTCTATAGTTAGAAGCTTAAGCTAGATTTTTTTATCAGATAAATATACTAAACCATTAGCATATAATTTATTGCCAATGATATTTCAAAAATATGTTTTTAATTCAATCTTAATCATAAAGCATGATAAGAGGAAGCTCTGAAATAAATTTATTTTATAAAATTGTACAACTAAATATTGAATTTCATATCAACTCAAGATTTTCAAAATGAAGCATGCTCTTGGACTTGAATTACTGTTACTTAATTGTGCATGTGTTTTTAATCTCTCAATACTAACAGATGATAGTGGACGAAATATCACCGACTTAGATATGAATAATATTGATCCTAAAAATTCAGATGTGTTTAGGCAACTTTTGAATCAGGAAACACTTATTAGAATGGCTTTGGTGAAGAATGTACACGTATTGATGAAGGATATGGTCGACCTTAAGAAAAAACTTGAGTCGGTGGAATCTTTACAACAGAGTGCAGAAATAAAAATAACAGCTCTACAACAGGAAGTGAACGACCTGAAACGTGAAAACCAAAAACTTAGTCTTGAAAACAGAAAATTTGAAGAAACTTTCAGCCTCGTCAAGGACAACTTCACACAAATTAAAGATCAGTTTAAAGACTTTGCTAAAGAAGTTGAGGAAAAAAGAGATGCATTCGAAAGAAACACAAGTACAGTTCTTGGCGATTATTCCTGATATGATTGATGAGAAGTGTAACGTTTTGTCAGCAATGTTCAACATGTCGCTGGAAACCCTGAGCGATGATTTAATAGCCACAAGCACTAAGCTGTCGAAGTCAGTTTCAAATCTGGAAAACTCCCAGAATGCAATTATAGCATCAGTAGCTGGTATGTCTTTTTTTTCTTTATTTTCTACAGCTTCAACTTATATATAACTTTAAGATAAATGATATGAACATTTACTTACTAGTATATAAATTTTATTAATCTTAAGTTTGACCATCGATCCTATTAAAATTTCTGTTAATTAACATGAATATTCATGTACGCAACATAATGACTCCTTTTTTGGTATTTGACACCCCATATGGCGATGAACGGTCACGTTCAAGTGGAATATAGGTATGTATACTTGAGACATAGTGCATCATATATTTGTGTCTATGAACTGAATGGAAAGGAATCGGCAATAAAAATATCGTCGTTATATCGAAAGCACAATTTAATAAGTTATAGTTACACTATAGATATTAATTGGTTAGCAGTAAATACACTCACAGTTTTTCATTCACGAGGGGCTTACCAATTAATATCTATTGCTAACCAATTAATATCTATTGTGTAAGTTACTTGTACCAGAGGACCAATGAGAGAAAAGCATGTTGATAATTAGCACCGCCTACTACGAGGTGTCAAGCCACGGCCCGGAGACTGTATAAATAGCTGTCTCCATCTGCAAGAATCATAGTTAGCTGCGTCACTGCTACTGCGAATTGTTGATAAAAAATTCGGAATTGATACGTGTGAAGATATTGTACCTTTGGAATGTTGAAGACGCAGAAAACATGATTTTTGTCAGGTACAGGGTAGCGATTGTAGGCTTTTATATTCAATCCGTGAACCTTGACAGAAAATTCATCTTTCTAGATCTTTTTTTTTTTTTTTTTTTTTTTTTTTGAAAAAAGGGGGATGGGTATGGGAAACATCGCCATTGAACTTTCTCTATATGGCAATCGGCGTACAGAAAAAAAAATGAAATGATTTGTGACATTTTAATGAAAGTTTGAAATGGTATTGGATTTAAAAAAAAAACGCGGGGACTTCTGATGTGATATTGCTATTTGTATTTGGAGACGGGAAAGAGAATGACGAGAACTCGAGATAGGACGTATCATTTACTGATTAAGGATACGCGGAGAAAACGTACAGAAACATTTAAGAAACGAACATCGACAAGCTAATGTTAGTATTTTTTAAATTACAAATGTTGACTTAATTTATTCATCAGCCAGGTCTGGAAATTGACATCATTTATTCATCAGTCAAGGTTTTGTCACAGTATGCCTTGATGCCAAAAGGTGGGCGTGACTTAAAAAAACTGTGATTCTTCTGGCAAATACACCACAGCAACATCAAAGCAAAATCTAAATTTACCGCCAGTCCTATGGTACAAGGGAAGTCATTCCGATGGAAAAGGGATATGAGACTATATAGTTCAAATATTGTAGATTGAGAGTTTGTATTTACTACCCCATGGTCATATCTATTGTCCTAATATATGTGACTATATATCGAAAACACTTTCTTTCTGATAAATATGAAATCATATGTAAATTGATCGATAGTTGTTTATTGATTGGATCTATAGCTGAAACATAACCCACATAGCATGGCTTACAGAAAATAAGTTAGTTCAGAAGATTAATTATTCATATTACATTTTTTATCATCAGAATGAGCTTACATTTCTTTTTTAGAATCCCATAGAATTAATTAAATGAAAATTCAAGAAAAGAAATATCCACTTTGATTTTAATTATTGTGAAAAATTTTTACTTTAGATATTTTTCTCTCCCTCAGATGATATCAACAAAACGCTAGGTGACTTAAAGACGGAAGTGAAACAATCTCAAAATGATCAACTGAAGTTGTCTGCCACTGTGTCCTCTCTAGAGGTGTTCCGAATGAATATTACCAATAACCATTGCGGTAAGTATTAACAAAAAGAAAACAAAACACCCCCCCCCCCAAAAAAAAAAGTAAAACAAAACAAAAGTTTCTTTGGTTTTAATTATCAGAACACAGAGAAAACTGGGAAAAAGATTGTGAAATCAGATTGAAATTATTTTCACAGGTAGATTGCAATTGATAAATAACTGTATTTATTGTGCGTCAGAAAATTTATTTTTTTTTTTTCTAGCAAGTTTTTAAATAAGAAAACTGGATAATTTTCCATAAATATATTAAACAAATACATATGCAGAAATTATTAAGAAAGATATGTGTGAAAAAAAAAAATAAACACCGGGCAAAACAAGAAATACAACTGATAAATTTCCATTCCATCAAACATTGCAACAATCATGTTTTTTACGAAGTGCATCATCTTTCAGAGATAAAAGATAGGTTTTTTGTCGTTAGTTTGCGAGAAATGCGTCTCTTTCTTTATTATAGATTTGGGAAAGAAAGTGGCTTTCACAGCCGGAGTGACGTCTAGTTCCAGTTCCTGGAACAGTGGCACTCTGGTTTTCGATAAAGTCACTAACAACGTGGGAGGCGGGTATAATCCGAATACAGGAATATTTACTGCACCCCTCAATGGAGACTATGTCTTCTACGTCGGTATCCAAAGTCGTAGCAGCGACGTCAATGATATATATGTAGGTATAGTCCTCAACGGATCAAGAAAGGTTCGAGCGATGGCTTATAACTATAATTCTAACGACGATTACGAGACAGGTACAAACATGGTGACACTGAGACTGCAGCAGGGAGACACGGTGTGGGTAAAGTATTACGCTGGAAAAGGTTACTACACTTACAGTGACGCTCCTCTAACAACGTTCTCTGGATTCCTTAAATGAATGAAAAATTCAAATATCTAATGTGTGCAGTTCAGAGACTGAAGAAGACTAATATATGTACAGATTATAAACTGAAGTAAACAGTCTAAAATTGTATCAATATTTTAAGAAGATTGTGAAATCAAATAAAATCGCTTAAAAACTATATATTTTCGAAGACAAAATCTTAAAAGAAAAAGCAAAATAGGCTAAGATACATATTTTAAAATTGGCTAAACTGAATTTCAATTGATGGAAAATCGATCTAAATATCAAATATATTTTGTAAGAAACTACTTATATTTTGTAAGAAAGGTACTTCAATATTCATGAAATGCCAATGCATTGTAGTGCAAATGTGCTTAATTTTGGTTTTATGGGAGAAGAGAAACACCTGCTATTCCCCATTCTGTACAATAACAAATCTTATTTCGAAAAAAAAAGTTTTTCCATACATCATACATGTAAATATGCTTAAGCGTAGTTCTTCAGATTTTTTGGTTGTTGATTACAGCGACCAATTAAGGAGGCTCATTACACCACTTTTTGATGACGTATTACACAGAAAAATAAACCTCCATTGTTTCGTCCGTTTTCTCCTGGGGACGAATTGTACAGGTTCGCTTTGCTGATGATCTAAATCTTTAAAACGCTCTAAAAATAGACTACATGCGATGTTGTAAAAATTGAGAACAAAATAATTCAAAATAGAACAAGATATGGATTCATTATAAATCACAAACGAAGAAGGGGTATTTTTTAGATAGAGACCAAAGAGAATGACAGTCAAATCTTCGCTACCCAAGTAGTGTACAATGTCATAGCGAAAGCAGCAAGTCCTTCCACTGACAGCATGTACATGTATGTATAGAGGAATTTCGAATTAAAATCTACAACCTTGTTGAAATAAATTATTATTCACTTGCGCTTTTAGAGTACTGTACTCTTGTTGGTTTGTGTGCTTGTCTTTTTTTTCTTTGAAAAATGTATATTTATTCTAGAAATTTTAGCTTATTCTGAATCTGATATGTTCAACCGTTCCTGAGTATTTTGAGTCAGGGGGATTTAGGAAAGATAACTCTTGCAAGTGGACTTTTTATTCCAATTATTTTTTAAATTGAAATTTTCATTTCCTTAAATCATTTTTCATTCAATTTGTCACTTGTTATTCATTAATATACATCCCTTGTATATTTATAACTGAATTTCCAAATTATTAATGCAAAGATTAAGAAGAAAATCACATTAATTCTATTTTAGGAGAAAATTATTTTTTCTAATAAAAATAATGTTGAATATTATGAAGTTTTATTATTATATTGCTTACATATCTGAAGATGATATCCATCACTTGACACTGAGATTTCTGCAATACTATCAATCAGAAACTTGAAATAAAACATTTAACCAAAATCAGCGAAAAGATTAAAAAATCTTTAAAAAATATTTATCGTATCATAACCTCCAATTGGATATTTGAAATCTTCATAATTAGTGGTGCTGAGATGAAATTTAAAATAAACTGTGGGTGTAATGAGCCTCCTTAAGAGAAAAACAAAAGGAATATAATATCAAATTGATTGCCTGTTCTTTCATAGAGAATGAGCTTTTAAGAGAAGTTTATTTCTTTCTTTATTTATTTATTTCATTTTCATTCCCTGCAGTACAGTGAAAAAAATAAGCTTTCATATTTCCATAAAACCCCACAGTTATATGGAAGGGGATATGCTGAATCATTTCTAGATCAAAGTTCTCAGTTGTACTTTATATTTCGACACTTGATGTGGATTAAAATAGAGACGAGTGCATTTTTTCATATAGTTTTAACTATCAGATAAATACTCACTTATATGAAAACAGCTATATGAAGGAAAATTAAATGAAAATGGTAAAGGATGTGTTTCTAGTCAATTTTTTTTTTGCTATCCAGAGGCAAGTATCACACTACCATCTTGTGAAAAAAGAGCAGTTATAAGACGACAAATTATCTTCGTGGCTCTTTCACAAAGCTGTTTTGAGACGATAATATAATGTTAAGATCTATCTCAGTCTGAAGAAACTAGATACATGTCTTCAGTCTAAAGTTAGAATTGCGGCAATTAACAGGCTATATTTTTGGTTAAAAACAAGGCACTAAAAGGATTTTAGGTATGAGGTATTAAATGCATATAGTTAAGTAACTAAAATGACTAAGAGGAGTTTCGGTATGAGGTATTAAATGCATATAGTTAAGTAACTAAAAATGACCATGGACCCCCCCCCCCCCCCCCATTCCCTTCAGAAAAAGCTGACCCTTGATAACTTAGTAAGAAAAGTCATATATACATGTATTAAGATTAAGAAGTGAAAGAAATCCCCCCCCCCCCCCTGCGAAATATGTTTTTCACGTTTGGAAAAGGAGTTTACATTTTTGTTTGTGTATATGTTGTTTTTTTGTTTTTGTTTTGTTTTCGATTGTTTTTTGTTGTTTGTTCCTTTTTCTTTGGAAGGAAGGGGGGGGGGTATAAAATAATTTCTGGGTTAGATTTTTTTTATCTGGGGTGGACCCCCCATGGAAAAAATATCTTAGATCCGTGCCTGAGTTGTACTTTGAATTCCATACATTCTTTTTTGTAGGAGCACAAATGTGGTGGCTGATCAAATTCATAGTTGAATTTAATTTTGTTTGCTTCACAAATACACATTTTACAAATTTTATCCAATGCTTTATTTTTCTTTCACATTTTCAGTAGCCAAATTCATGCCACGAGAAAGGGTATATGAATAAAAGAACAACTCCTTAGACAAAATGAATGATCCAGATATGAATTATAAATCATTTTATTTTAGAGTTATTAGTAGCGCTCAATGCTTGTCTTACATATCATTTTCTCTCTTACCAACTGAAGCAATTACTCTTAGCGCAAAGACATCCATCTACGGTGGATGCCGAAAGAATCATGAAAACGAAAGCCAGGGTACAGTATATAGCAATTATGAAAATCCTTATCTTAAAAAAAAATGAACTCTAAATTTAGTGACAAGGTTATATTTGAAAAAAAGTTCATTTTAACTTTCATATGCATTATATATTATAAATAACCCTTTGGAATGTGAGTCAAAATATTACAAATCATGGCTTTGCTGTTCTTCAGAAGAATGTTTTTGAATTATACACGTCTTCGTACATGTACACCAAACCCTCGTCTGAAAGGCAAAAAGAGCTCAAATTTTAGTTACATATCCTCCCTTGAAGTTATTATAACATTACGATAAATATATTACTTTTTTCAGACATTAAAAAACATGCCTTACTAGACTGAAACTAGCAGCCAATAACAGCAGCCGTAAATTATCTTATATCACCCGTAATGTTACCGTTAAAACAATCGGTTATCCGTCAAAACCCCTTCCGCTGTCTAATTTACAACGTAAGAAAAAACGGTTCATCGCCATTATCCGTGCGTCTCTGTATATTTTCCTTGACGTTATAATACTACAACTGAGACAAAATGTGCTGGGCCTACTGTTAATTACGGATTGTCCTTTTTATCCGTTCGTTTATACTACTGTAACCGTAAGTCATACTCCTCGAGTAACCGTAGACCTACGTTACAGTACTAGGCGAGTACGATGTTCCAGAAACAAAGTAGCATCCCGGTATTCAACGACTGTTTTGAACATTTCAAAACAGTCGTAGCCAGTTACAGATCATTCAGGATTCATGCGAGTTACCAGGGCTCACCACGGCACTAACAACGGACGAACTGTGGATATCTAAGAATATCCACGGATACTAAAACCGTAGCTTACCGTGTTCTAAAATCGTACAGTGTGACTGGGGCTTAACGTGGGCAACAAGGTTTTTACGAGGTAAAGTAATTTTTCTTCAATTCAATCAAATGGCGCGTTACAACAAGAATTAAATTATAAACTGATACACAAAACTTCGCCAGTTCTGTGTACAGTCACACTCTATCGCAATCTAGGTTCCCGGCAAATGAAAGCATTATACGGACTATCGTTTGTTAGTACTTGAAGGACAAATTGACCTATTTGAACCGGGTCTGAATCGGCATCCCTTCTGTTTTTGTCCTATTTTGTTCCCCATTTCCGTTTTTTCAATTCCAGTCGCATAAATTTTGCCCAAAGAGCCTTTTATTCGAAGAAAGGTTAAAATCATCTATAATAAAGAAACTTTGTTTCTACCAAACCACAGAGCAGCACGTATGCAATGATATCAAGTTTGCCAGCCTTGAAATCTAACGTCTTACTGGGAAGCTCATTGGTCAGATGAATGTGGCATCATCTGCATGTACATGATGAACAAATACGTGTAAGACGGAGGTCTAGAACTGCATAGTTAGGCTAGATCACACATTGTTGAAACAATCCTGTTTGGTGCTGTATCACTGTCATAGCTTGGGTTGTGTTTCCTATGCAATATCACAGCTAAGTATAACATGAATACACAAAAGTACAAAAGAGACATTATTTTTTCAATTATTCATATTATGGAAAAATGTTAAAGAATAATATGACTGATTAGATTTTTAAAGATCAGACAATGCTATCAAAATGTGAAACATAAACTTGATCACATTTATTGATCCTATTATTTGAAATTAATCATCTTTTTTTCTTTACATACTATTGCTATCTCGGTTATGCACGTTTTCTTATATTCATGTTGGTAACGTAGATTTTAGCATATAAATGATTTAGGAAATTTTCGTAAAAATTATCATCATCGATTAAAAAGACGTTTAATGTTTTAGTCCATCAAAGTGTTGCTGAGGATTCCAATTAGGTTTGTTAGGAAAATGCGTCAGTAAGTTTCTAATCTGTCATATACTTTTGATGAGCTTTAGAACAATATGACGGTACCAATAAACGTTTCATACTATTTTGGACTAAATATAGAATAACAGATATTTTATGCATAATTATAAATCATACAACCGTTTAAAACAATGTTCTTCTTTCTCTCATTGAACTTTTGCTATATATTGAGTTTTAAGCAAAATATGTGTACAACAGTT